GAGATCATGACCTGAGCTGAGTTTGGACATTTAACTGAGTGAACCGCCCGGGCACCCAGCAACGCTTTTAAAGTATCGAAGTAGGGGCGCCTGGGTGGCGCAGTCGGTTAAGCGTCCGACTTCAGCCAGGTCACGATCTCGCGGTCCGTGAGTTCGAGCCCCGCGTCGGGTTCTGGGCTGATGGCTCAGAGCCTGGAGCCTGTTTTCGATTCTGTGTCTCCCTCTCTCTCTGCCCCTCCCCTGTTCATGCTCTGTCTCTCTCTGTCCCAAAAATAAATAAACGTTGAAAAAAAATTAAAAAAAAAAAAAGTATCGAAGTAACTTGGTCAGATTTGAGTTTTAGAACAATAAACTCTTGTAACAATCTAGGGATGAATTGGAGGAAAAATAAATGCAGAGACTGTAGCTTTTTGTCCTAAGATTCTAAAGTTTGGGAACTTACAATTCATATCCTAAGTTTATTTAGTTATTCCTAGTATATTCCCTCTCATCCTGAATGAATTCTCTTAGCTTGTCCACATGCGGCATTGTTCAATATGCCTTTTGTTTGCTGTTTTTTTGTTTTGTTTTGTTTTCTGGGCATTTCTTAACATGCAGTGATCTCTCACACACAATATTTAGGTATCTGAAGGATATGCCAATGCTCTGTTTGCTTTTTAAAAAATTTTTAATGTTTATTTATTTTTTGAGAGACAGAGCATGAGAAGGGGATGGGCAGAGAGAGAGGGAGACACAGAATCCAAAGCAGGCTCCAGGCTCTGGGCTGTCAGCACAGAGCCTGATGTGGGGCTCGAACTCATGACTGGAGCCGGAGTCGGATGCTTAACTGACTGAGCCACCCAGGCGCCCCAGTTTGATTTTTTTTTTTTAAGTTTACTTATTTATTTTGAGAGAAAGAGAGCTATCGGGGGAAGGGCAGAGAAAGAGAGGAGAGGAAGAGAGAATCCCAAACAGGCACTGTTAGCACGGAGCCCGAAGACTGGCTCAAACTCACAAACTGAGATCATTACCTTAGCCAAAATCAAGAGTTGGTTGATTAATGAGCTACCCAGGTGCCCCTGTTTGATTTTTTAAAAGTTTATTTAAGTAATCTCTACACCCAACCTGGGGTTCAAACTCACAACCCTGAGATCACTGCACTCTTCTAACTGAGCCAGCCAGGTGCCCCTCGATTTGATTTTTAATGCCCTTCTCAACAACGCCTTGCATTTTGCTGGCCTTTTTGTTTAATGAATTTATTTCATGAATTGATTCCTATGAGGAAACCATAAATCCTATGGATTGGATAGATTTAATTTTCTAGGCTTTTAATCTGGGGGGGGGAAGTCTACTTAACAGGTATTTATTCTGTCAGGCACTATGCATGTCCTAGAAACTTAAAAATGAGTGAACATTGTCTCTTGCCTTCAAGGAACTCACAATCTAGTAGGACAGTTCAAAGAATTTTTTTAATGACATAAATGCTTATCAAGTGCATACTCGAGGACAGAGGAAGGCACAGCTAAGTTTTGTGAGCTACCAAGAAAGATCAGAAAATCTCTTTCCCTTTCAAACTGTATGAAAGTATAATTCCCAACTCTTTTTACAGCATTTGAAAATATAATATAACAAGAAGGTTCAAGTCTGTAATCACCTTTGAGCTCCGGTTCAATTTAAGCCATGTCCTCATAACCACTTGCTTGTAATGCATTAGTTATTTTTAACTAAGAGTTTGTGAATGTTTCTTTTTCTTTTCTCTGCAAATTCTCCCAAATCTCTGGGTTGTTGACCTGTAGCAGTTCAAAATGACTTGTCTGTAAATAGCATTTTTTAATTTGAACATGTTAATCCCACACAGTGGCATCACACTTAGTTTCTGCTTTGCTTTTACGGAAGATAAGTCTTTTAAGAAGAGCTCAGCATGAATTTCATGACCTGCATTTCTTAGTAGCTACTTTGCCTTTAGCATCTTTTCTGCTTGATGAGTCGATAAAAGCTTGTCCTAGTTTCTTGAACCTATTTTGTAGCAATAATTCAGCCTGCATTTTTTCTTTCCTTATTGTTTCCTTGAAGTTTAAAACTATTTAGTACATTCATGTTTGCTTTCCTGTAGTTCTCAATTTAAGGGAGAAATTTCTTCCGTGTCAGTCTCGTCATAGGTCCTCTGCAGGGCCAGAGATGTCTATTAATTTTCTCCTTATAATTAGGAATTATAATCTGATAAACTAATGTCTCCACATATCATCTCTTGTAGGTGTTTTTCTGATTGCTTTGACCTTGATGTTTCTGTTCCTTATGCTGTAGGAATGACTTTAACATCTGGTACCTTCCCTATGCTTTGATCAATTTCATATCGCTTGCTTACACTCAGGATTGTGGAGTTGTCTTCTGAGTTGGTTGTTTACCGGGATGATTATTTGTTTAGGTAACCTTTTCAGAAGTATGTTATGATAATTTAAGAATCTGAAAACCCATCCAAATTGAAAGTTGACATTTTTTTTTCTTTCCTTAACATTCAACAAGGTCACAGAATTACATCTGCTTTTAACAAGTCTTGCGTATTTCCACTCTTCTTAAGACCCATGTTGTGTTTATTTCACTAAAAAATGTCCTCTGCTACTGAAGTGTGGCCAAAATCTGTTATCATGTACTCTATGGTAGAAGAGAAGTCTAAAAGTAGCTGTTCCTTCTTGGGAAAAACAAATACTATCTGGAAGGTCATCACTTCTGCTTTAAAAATATTTTGAAGATTTTCAAGTCATTTATTGTTTGTTTTCAAGTTATAATACATACCTATCATAGAAAATTTTGAGAATATATAAAAGTATAAAGAAGAAAAATAAAACAGTCAGTAATTCCAACACCAGTAAGGCTACCTGTTATTTCTGTGCAACCTCAAATTTTCTTGAAGCCTTAGTCTAGCAACCTCCTACCCTTTTCTTCCTCAATAGACTGTTCAAGACATTAAGAGTAGAAGACTGACTTTAAATATAAGGGTCCTTAGGATTTTTATGGAAGGGATGGAGCTGTAGGAAAAAGCTACTAATTGCTCCAGAGATGACATCTTGTTCTTATTTAGCTTTCTTTGAGTCATTAACAGTCGGGCGCCACTGGTGCTGAAACTTATCATTATTATAACCGCAAATGGGTTAATGCCCAAACAAAGCTATATTCTTGGGGCTGGTTCCCAGCTCCACCACACAGATCCCAACAGCAGCACCCTCCAAGTCCCAGGATAACGCTCCACAAATAAGAGGATGTCAAATGTTCAGCCTGGACTTGAAATTCTCTTCTTTTATCTGGGAGCTTCCAGTTACTGGCAGGGCAGAGCAAAAGGAAAAATAAATAAATAAAAAACCAAGCCAACAAACCCTAAAAAAAGAGGCTGTGTGGTTTAGTGGTCAGACCACTAGCCTGGAGGTTGGGATAGCTGTGATCCAGTTCTAGCTCTCTCACCGACTGGCTGGATGATGCTAGATAAGTCATTTGCCTGCCATGTTCCTCAGTTTCTCTGCTAAAAAAAAGGGAGAAGTACCTTAGGAAGTTTTTATGAGGACAAATGAATGATCTGCAAATAGCTTCGGGTTGCTTGGAAATAAAATTGTAAACCTTAATAATTACTATCCTATTACTTTATTAATAGCATAGTAATAAGTCACAGGTGTGAAAGTTATGAAACTTCTATACCCTCAAGCTGCACTGGGCGGGGGGGGGGAGGGGCAAGAGGCAAGCATCGAGGAAGAAAGCAAATATTTTTTATCAAATTTGCAGGACCTGACATTAAATACCAAATTAGTAAATTCATTACCTCGAGATCATAAATGCAGGTCCTAGTTTGGCTCTGATCCTTACCACATCCAAACTCAGAGTGACTCACAGGAGCCTAGAAATAAGACACATATACAATTTTAAGGGAAAGGGAGAATTAGGAGGTTTGAAGCTCCTGCTGGAGAAGGCTAAGAATAGACCGCGGACACAAAGAGAAGAAGGTCCTCTTTCCCTTTCCTCCCAGTGTAGGTGGTCCACTGGCTTCATGGATATTCCTCCCATAGCATGATTTTTCTTTCTTCTTTCCTACCTGCCTTCCATATCTTTTTCTTCCTTCTTTCATTCACTTCTTTCTTATTCTTTTTTTTTTTTTTTTTTTTTTCAGAAAAATCTCACATTGTGGGAACTAACTTAAAAAGTGAGGATACAGTGGCTTTTCCTACCAGGTTTCAACTGTGACAGGAACCACAGACCACTAACCTGTTGCTGGAGTGGAGAGGAGCAAAAAGAAATATCTGGATATCTGGGACGTTCAACACCAATGAATGCTTTCCTTTCTTAAAAGAGAAGTCATCAATTAGGCATATAAAGGGGGGGGGGGAAATCTGGTGGTGTCCTTGTTTGTGCACCCCATCCCCTCAAGAAGTGAAATGTCTTGGTAGGAAAAAAGAAAGACACTTGGGAAGGGTATCAAATAGTAAGGGATAGGAGTAGAAATTGGGACTAAAGATAAATAGGGTTTTGAGAGGAAATATTAATGAACTGGAGGATTTAATAAGCACCTTCTGCGTGTCCAGCCTGGACATAGGCTGAAAAGACACATTCCTGACCTCAAGGAGCAGCCAAAATATACGCCTGTGAAAGCACTTGGTAGCAATTTAAGGCAGCAAATAATAAAGAGATAAACATAGGTCATGGGGCATTAAGTGTTTATGGGAATTTAGGGGTGGGAGCTATTACTGCAAGTTAGGATAACAGCTGTATAAAGCAGAAATAGCAGTTATGAAATTCAGAAATCGCGGACGCGGAGGGCTGGCAATAATTTTTCGACACCGGGAAATGTGACAGATTCAAGGGACTCTCCACCTCAAATTCCTCTAAAACCAGCTCCTCAAGAATGGGAGTCCTAAGAAAACTCGACCGCCGTGAAGCGACTGCTCCCGGAACCGGTGTGGCCAGCTTGGGGTTGCGATACGGAGACTGTTGGCGAGACACCCTTTCCACCTCCCGCCTCCTCCCGCCGCGTGGTTGCCATGGCAACGGAGAGAGCCGGCGACCTGGGTTCCGGAAGCCGGAGAGCTAGAGCTTTGGAAGCTACCGTGGTCAAAGGATGCTGAGTCCAGAGCGCCTAGCCCTACCGGACTACGAGTATCTGGGTAGGAGCTTCCTTCAGCTTCGCAGAAGGAAAGAAGTGCAGACAATTAGGCCAGGGTCGGGGGAGGAGGCGGGGCGGGGCCTGAGTGGGGCCCGGGCCGGGTGGAGTAGGGAGGGGCCGGGAGGGGGCGCGTTCCAGGGCCTGGACTTGCGGGGAAAACAGCATCTGGGGGTCAAAGCATGTCTGAAGTGTCCGGGGCTCAGGCGGTGTGGATGGTGTTCAAAGGCGGATAGGTTGGAGTTGAGAATTTGGGGGCCCTTTGGGGATATTATAGATAATGCCGGTGGTGCAGTAACCTTGGAACCTGAAGTGCCAAATCAGTCATTCTGTGAACAATCATTTTACCGTTACAGCCGCCACTGGCATTTTTGAGCATTTCTTTTACGTTAGGCACTGTGCTAATCAAGCATTTCACATGCATTTTTACTTAATCTTCACAACAGCCCTAGGAGGAAATACGGTGTTTTTCTTCCATTTTGCAGACGGAGAAACTGAGGCTGGAGAGGTAGCTTGGATAAATAAGGCCACACAGTTAGAAAATGGTAGAGCTAGAATCAGAGCCTCATTTGCCCACTCCAGAGCTTGAGCTCTTGACCACTAAGGCAGTAGCTGTAGTACTTTATGGAGCACCTTCGATGTGTGAGGCCTTTGCTGGATGAAAAGAGGATGTATATATGTTTGCGTATATGTATGTATCTATATACGCTTATGCTTAAAATGATAGGCTTTATTTTTTAGAGCAGTTCTAAGTTTACATAAAATTAAGTAGATACACAGAGCGGTTCCCATATACTCTCTCCCCCTGACTCGGTTTCCCCTATTAATATCTGACATTAGTGGAGTACATTTGTTATAATTGATGAACCTAACCAAAGTCCATGCTCTACATTAGGGTTCATTCTTTGTGTTGTATAGTTTTGCGGGTTTTGACTAATGTATGTCACGTATCTGCTGTTACGGTATGGTGCAGAGTAGTTTCACTGCCCTCAGCATGCTCTGTGCTCTACCTATTCATCCTTTCTCCTGCCCCCCCCCCC